TCATCTCTTATACTCAAAGGAATCTATTTTTTTTTAAAGTGATTTTTTATAGTAGGTTCTTAGCTTTTGAGATGGACTTACGGCATTTAAGTGTTGATGCATGAATCCCTTATGATGCAATTATATTTATGTTCAAATGTTGATAATCTTATTGTGGAAATTAGAAGGCAAGCTATTTACGCCTGCTCTCAATCTTCATCCACTTTCCAGAAACAGTCCTAAATAGAATTTAAACAGTTTGTGGTCAAATATTAAATACTACACACAGAAATAAATAATTGCCATGTAGTGATCTGAAATACTCCCCTTCGGAGAGTTAGCTCAGTGTAATAAGGGACGGAATGTGCTAAGTTATGATAGTAAATTGTCATTCTCAGCCCTGTTGCACTGAACCTTCATGTTTATAAAGTATTGTGATTTATTTGTATCTTTCGTACATACTTGTTAAACATTTAGATGAGGTCGCCACCCCTGTCTTCTTTAGGAAAAGTTGCAACCGTTACAGTAGTGGTCAGGCAGGAAACTCAATTAAAATATCTTCCTGGTTTAATCAAACCACCAGCTGTTATAGTAACTTGAAAGATCCTTGAAAGAATTTCTGAATGTGTTGACTGCCTGGATAATCCAAAGGGGGAACTAGTTTCCACCCGTAACTGATTGTAAACATCAAAATGTGTGTAGCTTAATTACCAGAAGCAAATAATGGCTTTAATTAAAGGCATGTTTTTTGCAAATTCTATAAAAAATTTCCTGCTACATCTGGAACAGTTCGATCAGTAGATGAATAATAATACAATTAATTTTTAATGTTCTCAAAAATGATTTTAAATGTCTACACATTTTCATATCTACCCTTACCATTTAAAAATATTTTTGTAAGGGCAAGGAATTTTGTACAGATCTTTATTACTTCAAAATTATCTGAAACTGTTGCACAGCAATTGAACTTAACATGTAATTTCAAATAGGATGCGTGGAGAGCTCCACCCTCAGCTTAATTTCAATCCTAGAAGATAACTGAGACAGTTGTCCACTTTCAAAGTTTTATTTAACTTCCCTCTTTTATTTGATCTCATCTTATCTTTCCAGCAGGTCATTTGGGTCTTTAGAAACTGTTCAAAGGGCTTATATTTCACATTTGTGACCAGCAATGGCTTTCATATGGCAATCCTCTAATCCTCTACTTTAGTTTCCCTTGTTTATATATTTGTTTAATTTTCAAATTAACGTTTTGTTGTTGTTTTTTTAAATATGAGAATCCCTTTTTGTTTGAATAGGTGCCCTACAAGAAAAGCTTAACTAAGGCTTCACCCATTCCAATTTCACCTTATTAACAGTTGGCTTGTTTTTGCTTGTTTTGTTATGTAGCCCAAAGAAGTGTTTTGTTGAAATAATACAATAGAAATAACTAATTTATTGTACAGTATTGTTTTTATGCCCTTCACATTCATGTACATCTCTTAACAATCCTGTGGCAATCAATCAGCTTGGTCTAGTGTATATTTCTTTTTAATGTTTTTTTCTCTCTTAACCTTGGGTGTAGAGTATTTCAATTTGATCAGATCTATGAGGTTGCTCAAACATGGGTCAATAATGATTTTCACAAAGGAATAATTTAATTCATATTAAATTGGGGAAGTGAAAAGCTTGAATTACTTTTTTTTAAAGTCAAAATCCTGTTGGATATGTATGTAGTTTCCTTTGCAATTGATTAGGAAAACATATCGGCTGAAGAAGGTCATATATAATGACCCTGCTTGAACTTATATCATTAAGTAGAGGGGTATTATGGTTTTAAATATTCCATTTTTAAAAAAAAACTTTTTATTCTAAAATAAATCATAACTTTTGTTTGTTTCTGTATAGTATTTTAAAGCACAACTGCAATCTAATTTATATTCAGTTCTCAAGGTGACATTCATGCATTAAATTATTGCTGTGAAGTTGGGAGGAGAAAAAAAGGGGGTGGGGGTGGGTCTGTCATTTATTCCACCTTTAAAATTCCGCAACCCAATAATTAAGTCTTAAAGTGCCAAAGTCTTTATTAGCACTTACAGTAAGTTACAGCAGGTTTTGTAATGTTTCGTGGTACAATTTTAAGACTGCAATAATAAAAAGCTGATAAAAGAAGTGTAGATTTTTTAATTTGAAAGGTTTAACATTACAACAATACTGTTGGACAGCAAAATAGTGTATAAGGTCATATTAACGTTCCTTTTTATTTTTAATAAGCACCAAATATAAATGTTACTTTTATGTTAAAAATTTATGTTCCAAATAATTGTTTATCATTGAGTAAAATGAAGACTTCAATAAGAATCATGTGTTTTTTTTTCTGCATGTATATGGCATAATTGAAAAGTAATGTTCAATTGCCACTGTGAGTGATTCTTATCTCAACCCCCTTCTGCAGGGCCATGTTGCCAACATCTCTTCGGGTATACAAATATTCCTGGCCCTGCATATTCTTTCAAATTATTCTCACTTTTGTTATGTATACAGATGCAAAATATGATTTTTAATATAAATAAATGCATTACAATTGAAATAAAAATTCTTTTTCTATGAAAGGAGGTGTGAGAGAAACAGTCTGTTAACCAGCATTTTATACATGGACAATATTAATATGGAGATAACAGAATAAATGTGTTTAATTATAAGAAAAACAGTCAATTTGTGCTGTCTGTAAAAGCTTTATTGAAACAAGAGATTCAGTATTTGAAAAATTGACATGGTGGGAGTTGAAAAACCAACAACTTTTTACTATTTAGAGCTGACAGGACAAGAGCATTTTGTTAGACTGTAAATAGTGGGTTTCCTTTATATTGGTTTAATAAAAAAAATTGGTTAATAGGTTTTCCAATGTGATCCTTGTCTCCAATATGAATCTCTCAAGCTTTAACTTATGTTTGAAGAAGGATGTCAAAACTGCAGGATTTTTATGCATGGGGAAACAGACCAGTTCAGTTCCGCCTGGTAATTCATTACTGTACTACATTTGGTTCCTGGAAGAAAGTGCCAACTTAATAACTTTATTTGTACCATACCCTATACTATAATTTCAAGAGAATGCAAACATTTTAAAATATTTCTTCAAAAATTAAACCAAACATTGTGTGTGGGTCATGCAATCCTTCATGTAAACATCAGTTGAATAAACTAAATAAATATCAAAAGTAATGACTAAAAAATCTTCAGTGATTTCAAACTAATAAAATAACATTACATATTAACATTAATGAACAATTAAGTTATAAGTTATCACATTGAGACATAATTCATATGAAAACAGAAAAACTTACATAAAAGAGGGTTCCAATTATTTTTAAAAATTTCAAATATAACATTTAAAGGATATATATATTTATTGAATTTAATATTTTTAAATATATTTACAGCAATGGCCTTATTTTTTTTTATTATGGTTTTACTCAAATGTGTTTATTAGCTTCAAAGCTTGGTTAAAAACCATTGCAAACTTTGATGAAATGTTAACAGAAACTTTTGTGTAATGATGAATCAAAATTCTTAGTGTTCACTAGTCTAAACATAATATAATTCCACAAGCTAATATCAATGAGTTAAACTGCTTTAAATAAATATGGATATTAGAAATGTTTAAAATAGCCGATATTATCATTTAGTTTATAATAATTCACATGGTTAAAAAATAACATCCTAAACTTTTATTTTAAGAAAAGACTGATCATGATCTTGTTAAATACAAGTTCAAGGTCATGTTATTAGTCTAGCAATGGGAGTCGCTTAGTCAATTATTTTGTCACGTGATATGAGTAAAAACGAGTAAGATTTCCGGTATATTGTATACAACACACTAGTGCTTGACAACAGTAGCCCGATACACACTACAACTACACTACATTTCGTCCAATGAAAATTAACAATAAAATAAACAAAGGGGAATGACTCCTGCATCAATATTGAATAACAACGCAAATGACGTCATGAGCACGCACGGAGCTCAACAACATCCTGCCGATGATAGTATTGATAGTTCCCATCGAATATCGCTCACAAATTTTTCTTGAAATAACTTTCTTCCTTTAATCATAACTGACGTATATTTATTGTCACATTTATGTATTTCGTTTAAAAAAACGAGTGTATTCCAGAATATTACGAAAGGTAAAATTTTTAATTAACATGACATTGGGGAAGCACTGATGAAGTATCTTTTGTTGTGTGTTGCAGCCTAGTGATGACTTACTCATATCACGTGACCAAACAAGGAAGTGACTATGTAAAATTTTTAATTAACATGACATTGGGGAAGCACTGATGAAGTATCTTTTGTTGTGTGTTGCAGCCTAGTGATGACTTACTCATATCACGTGACCAAACAAGGAAGTGACTAAGCGACTCCCATTGAATGGAGCCATTTTCCACACTTCTTTTTAATTGAAATTATTTTTTTGTATTTCTACAGTTATTTATTAGACCATAGTAATAACTTCCAAAGCTTTTTTTAAAATGCATTCCAGACACCTTTAAAGTTCTGAAACTTGTAATCTTATTGGACTTGTTTACATATTTTAAATGATGCAAGCAACCGAAAGTTAAAGGAATGTTAATGGTTAACTATAATTAAAGGACTATAAATACAGTACTTTCAAAAATACAAATCTCTGGAAACATTTCCCATGCAGTAGTTTAACAGTACATTGATAGTGAAACAAGTTTCTACATAAATGAACAAATATTGAATATAAATATAATGAAATAATTAAATGTTTTCTTAAGAATTAAGTCACAGCCAAAGGTTTAGAGTATGCCTAGAACATCGCTTGTAAGTTTATTACACAAAAATACAACTATTCTGTGCCAGCCAGCGGCATTGCCCAGCTAATTTTTAGTTTATAGGAATAGTTGTTCAACATCAAAACAGGAAAAACTTGATGTGATCTTATCTTAATTTGTGTAACACTTTAAGAATTCTACAGTCACAGCCAATTGCAACTGTCAAACTAAACCTTCCTAAAATCTGCATAAAATTACTAACTATTCAGCAAACTATATGCTACAAATTAAGCGATTGCGATTAAGTTAAAAAACAAGAATAAACATATAAATAACAATCTAACCCAGGGAATATGAAAAAATATTAATGATCGGAGAAGGAACTATATGTAATGGACTAATTAATATTTGCCTAGATGTATGTGAGAAAAAGTAAGCACCTCAAGGATATAAGTGTTGTGATAGTGTGGAATGGGTTGGGGAAGGCAATTAAATAAATGAAATCTTTAACTGTTCCATTATTCTCTTGATATACTGGAATAAGTATTGCATGGATTTACTACAGACTTCATTGATATGTAATAAATTATCAACATTCAGTTGATTAATGTGGTAGAGTAAGCATATGTTTTATACAAAAGTGTATACTAAAAAAAAACTAACGAGTATATTGACAAATGTGGTTGATAAAAAAAAACAGCTTTAATAAAGTGTGCTAATGCCCAGTGACATTATTCAAGACATGACATAATATTGCAATGATGATTTCAATAACATGGAGATCTCAACCTAAACAAGGAATAGTGGGAAGATAAATTATGTTATCTATGAACTTGGGAAGAGCAGGTATTCTTCATTTGTCCAGCAGTAGCATTCCAAGGCGTTACTCCTTGGTATCCACCTCCTCCGCGGCCCTCTTAAATAACTGCTAGTTGTATCTGGGTTTAAGGACCCTCCCATGTTATTTATGGGTTAGCGCACCGACACCTGCATATCCTGAGGACTAGTAAATATTGAGCTGTGATAGACGGGACCGCTAAACAACCTGCCATGACAGAGGGGATCAGACAGCTTGACAACCTGCCATGACAGAGAGGACCAGAGAGCTAGACGACCTGCAATGACAGAGGGGATCTAACAGCTAGACAACCTGCCATGACAAAGGGAACCAGCCCCTAAGACAACCTACCACGACAAAGGGGACCAGGCCGCTAGACAAGCTGCCATGACAAGGGGACACACCTAGACAACTGGTTATGACAGTGGGGATCAGACCACTAGTCAACCTGCTGTGACAGAGTTGAACAGAGGCATAGACAAATGCTGACACAATCCAACTGTCAATACACCGTACCATACTCAAGTATATGACTTAATTCATCATGTTAACAATGATCAACAATTCAAATATTCAAACGATTCAAGAAATTTATAAAAGTATGGAGCATCATGGAAGTTTTGCTCACTGGTTAAATGTGTAATGACCCGTCCAAGAATGAGGCGTCGTCCATAAGCAACAGCGTCTGATCGGTCAGAAGCTAGGCCTGCTCTCACTAGCCAGTCACACAAAGCTGTTCCAGTAAATACTTTCTCAAAAGTACGGAATCTGAATCTGTGAAATACATAAGTAAAAATTTAGATGTCAGCTGTTGTAAGAGACCACTATTTTAAGAAATAAGAAACTTGTAAGTTGGATGAAAACTACTGTAAAGAAAGAAAGAGATAAAAAAAAAAATTGTTAGAAACAAAAATGTTCCCAAAGCTGCAAAGTAAAATAAAAGTAAAAGATTTTTAAATAGAAAAAAAAAAAACAAGATAAATTTTTTTTTACACATATTGTGACATATTTTGTTGAATTTTAAAAAAATGTCAAAAGAATTCTAGTTACAGGATTAAAAGAAAATATAATAATAAAGACAATGATTTTCAATTATATGTGGAAGCCTTTTACTTGGCAAAGAGCAAAGAACAAAATGAAACAAAGAAAGTAAAGAAAACTTATTCATCAGGACTACGACAGATAGTTGCTGATGGTGGTTTAACTCTAATTAGTTCAATCAGTACTACTTTTTTCTCAATTTTGTTTTTAAGCCCACACGCTTTAAGATAATAAAATTTTTACAATATTTTTTCTAACTGCTTTAGTGTTTCTCACAGAACTCATTTAGACTCTATTGCTTAATAATTAGGTGGACTTCTTCAAGCCATACTTTTATCACTATTTCTTGGTGCTGGGAATAGTTAAGAAAGTTGGAGCTTTAGACTTAAATTAAATCCTACATAAAGAAACTTGAAAAAGAACAGTTCAGGAACATTTGATATTGAATATTGCCAGGATAAGTAATAATTTTAAGTAGTGTTTTACTTTTGACAATTTAAAAAACGTTTGTCTCAAATGTGCGGCCCCTTAACACCCACATTATATTATGTTTATGTTATACTTAAAGACCCAACGAGTTGTCCCCCCTCCCTCCACCCCATCTTGGGTATGCCACTGCATACAAGAGATTGGATATTGTTGAGCGATTATATAATAGGTCTATCTGTCCTTACGATATCAAACTTCTAGGGATATGAACATGGCTCAAAAATCGGTATTATAAATTAATGTCAATGAAAATCATAATCAAGATTGGATATGAATATATTTTTCATTAAAACTAACAAAAGTGTTTTTCCCTGTTTAAACATCTGTTCCAGCTACTTTGTTCTACATAACTTCATTGAAAGGAAATATCCAGAAAAATGTACTTAAAAAATGGACAAGTTAGCCCCAAAATCCTCTGTGACATGTCGTGCAAATTTATTAGATCAACACTCCTAAGGACACTTAGAGTACACTTCACATCGATGAAATATATTCCCTTCCTGAATAAGTAAAGTGATGGCTAACAATGAACACGACCATGTCCACCCCTAGAGAGATGAGGAGATACAATAGTAGTCATGTCAATAAGGATGTCCTTCAAACACTAAAGTTGGTGGGTTTTACAATTTCTGACAATATTAAATTATTATGTTTTCATGACTGGAGGAAATTAACATTCAACATTTAAAAAATTATCTAAAGTAAGTCTCCCTTAATGAGCACATTTCTGAGGTTTCGAAAAACTGTAGAACCATAGGTACCAATTCATGTACAATGATTGTTGACCAATTACTCCACTAATGACTATTTGAGATAATCTATGTCAATTCTAATTTGAATAAAGTGGGCACTTTGATATGAGTTGATGGCATGGAGTGGCCAATGGTTCGTGGAGGGAGGAGCTGGCCTAGCTGATTTTTGGGCAGGGGGAGGGGGGAATGTGTGGGGAGGGTTACCAGGACTGTGGTAAGGGTGACAGAAAGGCACATTTATAATTTATTGGAGGGCTTAAATATGTCACGTAAAAAAATGGTACATACAGATGCATAGATCTATTTTAAAAGCTAAATTCTTAATCTGGCAGCTTATAAACAAATCTATAATATATATGACAGGCTAATGTAAAACAGATAAACTGCTTAAATGTTGCCTTCTTAATCTGGCAGCTTATAAACAAATCTATAATAATTTTATACAACTGGCAAGGGGAACTCACTGAAGACGTCTAAGTATAATTTCAAATACTGATGTACATACAGCAACACTAAATCAATTCCATGAAACCCCTCTCCAATCCCCCCCTCCCCAAACAAACACACACACCTTTACCTACATTCCCTATTTCAATACACCAACACAAGAGTTCAGTTAATGGTTTTAGATAGAGCTGTTCATATTTACAATCTTCTCAACCAAAAGTCAATTAGATTGGATTAACTTTTCAACCTCTTTCTTTCATCAACATCGGTTTGAATGAAACTCTTAGTCTATGCACATAAGCATTGGCACAGTGTTAAGAACTGCAAAAGTTTGGCTGGGTCATTAAATATAAAACCCCTTTTCTCTAACTCACTTCATATTTTATTTATCATGACTTTGGCTATCAATACAATTCTTTTCTATTTATTTCAGCTGTTTTGGTTAGGAAAGAAAGGAGTAATATATCCACTCATAAAGAAATAGTTTGTGTTAAACACATCAAAAACTTTTAAATCCCTTCAACAGATCAAATGAATGGATTCTAAATAATCACATTGACTTCGTTTCAAGTTTATATTAGTATGTTGAGAATTTTTTAAAAGAAATTCTAAAAATAATGTCACAGTTTAATGCTGTACACTCGTTTTTAAGCCACATTTTGAGTAATTGGGATGATCGGATTATGAGCAGGCCATAGAAGATTTTTATCATTTTCTTCAGGTACATTGAATAATGAATTTGTTATTGTAGATCACCTAGCTCCTAGTCTACCTTATGCTCTACAAGATTCCCTTTCAGAAGCTTTGAATATTAATTTTTTTAAAAGATACCGGATTAGATGATGCCACTATTCGCCAAATATAATGAAAGCTGGCCTTCGTATCTCATCCTAGATATTCTTGGGTTCAGTATAGCTTAAACTGGCATATTATTTTATGGGATCGTCTAATGAGCGGGTTATACACTTTTCAGGCTTTTCCTGTCGATATTTGGGGGTCTGCGAATGAACTAATGGGCCTTAGAAAGAGTATCTACGGTACATGCTTATCTCATCAATAAAACCATCCAACATTATAAGTGATGTAAAGCCAAATGAGCACCAAAGAAAACTATCACACCATAGGAAACAAAATGAATCCTTAACCGAGAATTTAAAAAAAAGGTTGTCAAATTAAAACGCAGCAATTACCCAAAGGTCTATTTTTGACAAATGCGTACTTGTTTCTTGGGTATCGAGCTGTAGAAATGGCATAGCAATTGACCTTTTAAGTACAGATTTTAAATTTATAGAAACATGAACAAAAAAAAACATACGCTTAAAAAAGATGCTGCAAAGAATTGTATGGGATTAAGAACAGCTAATTATTTCAATATCAAAAAATGATAGGTCATCTCTAGCTGAGGTTCAAATGAATAAGCCCATTTGATGTTTCAGGTTAGTGAAGATATGAATTAAGGTTTGTTATACATTTTTTCAAAATAGAAAATTGTATGGAAAAAGCATTTAAACTTTTCCCCCAAATAACCAAAAGACCAGAAAATTAAAAAAATATTTCTGAGAAACAGCGTTCATTCAATAATTTTCATCAGGCCAAATTTAACAGTAAATTTTAAAAGTTATCGAAGTTTTATAAAAATGTGGTGGTGATATTTCCTCCTTGAGTCTTTAGTGCCAATTCATTATAAACTGAAAACAATTGGCCCCTGATTATTTGAATTAATGCAGAAATAGATATTCCTAGCTGTGAAACATGTGTGTGCATAAGTGATTATATAAGAACATATATTAAATGACTATGTAATCAGCAATCAATGAGGTGTCACTTGATCTTGGGCTAACAATACAAAAAGTTAATAAATTTCAAGCAAGATATGATTGATTGTATGGGGGTTGACTTAGCTCAAGCAGGTAAATGAAAAAAATGGTATAAGGCTAAATGTGAGACAGAACAAAACAGCTCTTGTGAAAGCATTTCTGTGCTGAGAAGTGCACAGCACCACAATACAAAGACAATGTGGAACTTTCATCATATACATTTTTTTTATTGCTTTTATGTCTTATTCCTAAACTTTTGCATACAACAACAGAGCTTCATTTTTTTGTTAAAAATTTATCTTTACAATTTTTACCATTTTGTTGAATTAAAACAAATGTTTTTGTTTTTTTCGCTTGTTGGCTTTTTTTTCGGACCCACTCAGTGAAATGTTTTGTCTCACATCAAACTTCCACCTTTTGCCCCATATACAAGTTGAGATAGAAATAGGATATTCTGTCTATAGAAAGTGGGTGAAAATAAGCTATAAACACTGCTTTGAATGCTTTGACATTGTAATGCTGCAGGAAAATATACAATAAACATGGTTTCAAAGGAGTGGAAATGTGTACCTCTGGTGTCAACAGAAAACAAGGCATTTGCATTTAAAGAAGTGTTTGCTTTGTTAAACCAATCCATTAGTTAGATACCATTCCCGTCAATGACATAGAATTAAAGATGAAATTCCATATCAGGTAATGTGTTGCAGCTTGCAAGTGGAATAAATAATTTATATATAAATCAAACTGAGTTCTTTTTATAAGGAAAATATAAAGTTAATGCAGGAATAATTAAGAATACCATTTTTACCAAAAGCTGAAGCAAAAGTTAATAAAAGGGAAATCAACAAACCATTACAGTTTACAGTCTATGGTGAGTTAGACAGCATGGAAAACAAAACACACATCTGCTGAGGAAATTTCAGGGTTATTAAAAAAAAAAAAGTCTTGAAAATGTAAGTGAAAAATCATTGGTTTCTTAGGCTAACCGGCTGATGGCCTCTATAAATGTTAAACATATAACAATTAGGGTACAGTTACTGGCGTATCCCTCTATAAATTTTAAACATATAACAAGTAGGGTACAGTTACTGGCTTATCCCTCTGTAATGTTTAACATATAAACAAATAGGGTAAAGCTTTTTTCTGTGTATGTTTCATGGTTTGATACACAATTGATGCCACCATTGACATCTGAACTTTCTTAGTATGTTCAGGCTTCCATTCAGATACATGTTTATCTTTTGTCCTTTGAATCATTTCTTTTGAACTCTGACCCTCACCTTGTGGTTAGTCCATTTTTTTTATAATTAACATATAGTTGAGAGTAGAAATGTTTGAGCACCTCTAACTTCCTAAAATCACCACACCTCTCACTAAAGTCCATCTGTCCTTACAGTCTGCCGCCCCAACTATCCCCCACAACCTCCTACAATTCAAAAAGTCCTTACAGTCTGCCGCCCCAACACAACTAAACCCTAAACCACCCAACACAACTAAACCCTAAACCACCCAACACAACTAAACCCTAAACCACCCAACACAACTAAACCCTAAACCACCCAACACAACTAAACCCTAAACCACCCAACACAACTAAACCCTAAACCACCCAACACAACTAAACCCTAAACCACCCAACACAACTAAACCCTAAACCACCCAACACAACTAAACCCTAAACCACCCAACACAACTAAACCCTAAACCACCNGGGATTGGATGTTGAAAGTAAACCATTAGCCTATTATTTTACTATGAATCATCTAGAGCAAATAAAAGAAATGTCGGGATTGGATGTTGAAAGTAAACCATTAGCCTATTATTTTACTATGAATCATCTAGAGCAAATAAAAGAAATGTCGGGATTGGATGTTGAAAGTAAACCATTAGCCTATTATTTTACTATGAATCATCTAGAGCAAATAAAACAAACAAACAAAACCATCATTATTTCATTAGTTAGATACCAAGCAGCGTCCACACCACACGATTTAAATGTGAAAGAGAATAAGAAGCATGTAATCAATCAATGAAATGATAGAGCACATTTTGGGGCCCAAATGTAAGTCATGTAAAAAAAAAAATTACTTTAAGGTTGAGACTGTGACAAAGTTGTGAATCACATAATGGATCTGACTAAGAGGCTGTCCACAAATGACATCAAGCACCTGAGGTTAAGAAGGGGATTAGAGAGTTGCGACCGGGGGCTGCCCTCTTCATGAGACATGCATTGCCCAACATTATTAAGAATTTAGGGCCACATTAAATGAAGGTTCTATAAGAAGTTGGTTGGCCATTTGCTGCGGCCCATTATCTCACATTTTAAAGAAAATTTCTTAAGCTTAATAGGTGATATATATATATATATATATATATATACACACACACACACATACAGAGAGGGAGAGAGAGAGAGCCGTAAAAATATTTATTCTCTCTCTTCCATTTTAATTAGCAATACCGGTACCCAAATAAGTTGCAGTTTAACTTTGAGGTGAAAGCTTTCTTTAAAATGTGAAACTATGATACAGGTCTGTGGGCCTGTCACAGCAATGTTCTCTCATCAATGTCAATGATAAGTGAAAACGATTGCAAGTGTTACTGACCAACACAGATCATATCATTAATCTGATGGCATACAATATCTTTTATTTAATTAGTATTAGTGAGTTGGCACTGAATAATGGTACATACTTGTACAACAACAGATGGCATTCTGCAATTAAATTAAGCCAATGGTCGCATACTTGCTGGTATATAAATAAGGTCGATAAATAGGGCAGTTGAATAATTGTTCATCTACTTTAGAAATCAGTTTGGAAGCAAGTTAAAGAGCTTTTCTATGAATATTACCATATGGACAAGGTGAAAGTATGTTGAGAGAAACTCAGACCAAAAACTACCCTTAATAGATTAGTAGTGAATATATAAACCGCATATTATAAACCACATATCAAAACTAAATTCTCAGAATGAGCATTGGCAGAAACTGTACACATCAAGTGACTTAATTATGGACAGCCCTGAAGCTGTACATACGGTGTAATCTAGGAAAACTTTTGGTACATATTCATGACATGGGGAAGACACTATTCATGAACAGTCAAGATTTAAACAAGAAATTTGCTACTGAAATAAAATGTAAGAAAACAGAAAATGATTTGTTGAGATGAAGGGGGGAAAAACAATATTCATTCAAGAATTACGAGGAAAAAACTTACCGTCTATCCCGAACTATTTCTTCCACACAGTTGTCTTTGTGGTAGTCCTCAAACTGTTCACATGTCTTTTTGGTAGCAGCATCCAGTTGATTTAGGCTAGGCAAGCGTAACACTTCTGCACCAAACAGCAGTCGCCTAAGCCTTATTAATAAAATAATAAAACAAAAAATTGAAGCATTATTTATGATATATAAGTTTTTGAAATTAAAGCTATCAGGTATCAATAAGTCATGGAAAGCAACATTTGCTAATTACTAAATTCACTATTATGTAGCCAAAATTTTTGAGCTGAAAAAATCACAAGGAGGTTTTTTTTTTAAACAGGGAGGAAAAGTAAAATCAAGCGGGTTGGGTGACTCTTGTGTGTTTAGCTGGGTTGTGTGTTAAGCTGGCTTGTGTATTAAGCTGGGTTGTGTGTTTAGCTGGGTTGGGTGACTCTTTGAGTTGTGTATTTAGCTGGGTTGGGTGACTCTTGAGTTGTGTGTTTAGCTGGGTTGGGTGACTCTCGAGTTGTGTGTTTAGCTGGGTTGTGTGTTAAGCTGGGTTGTGTGTTTAGCTGGGTTGGGTGACTCTTGAGTTGTGTGACTCTTGAGTTGTGTGTTTAGCTGGGTTGGGTGACTCTCGAGTTGTGTGTTTAGCTGGGTTGTGTGTTTAGCTGGGTTGGGTGACTCTTGAGTTGTGTGTTTAGCTGGGTTGTGTGTTTAGCTGGGTTGGGTGACTCTTGAGTTGTGTGTTGTGTTGGGTGGGGTTGTGTGTTTAGCTGGGTTGGGTGACTCTTGAGTTGTGTGTCTCTTGGGTTGTGTGTTTAGCTGGGTTGGGTGTCTCTCGAGTTGTGTGTTTAGCTGGGTTGTGTGTTTAGCTGGGTTGGGTGACTCTTGAGTTGTGTGTTTAGCTGGGTTGTGTGTTTAGCTGGGTTGTGTGACTCTTGAGTTGTGTGTTTAGCTGGGTTGGGTGACTCTCGAGTTGTGTGTTTAGCTGGGTTGTGTGTTTAGCTGGGTTGGGTGACTCTTGAGTTGTGTGTTTAGCTGGGTTGGGTGACTCTTGAGTTGTGTGTTTAGCTGGGTTGGGTGACTCTAGAAATGTGTGTTTAGCTGGGTTAGGTGACTCTGGGGTTGTGTGTTTAGCTGGGTTGTGTGTTTAGCTGGGTTGGGTGACCCTTGAGTTGTGTGTTTACACATTTGAAAATATGAAAATTTATTCAGCAAATAATGTCTCTTAAAACATACTAGTTTTTTTTTTTTTTACAGAAAATATATATTTTCCTTTTTAAAAAAATAATTTTACACATTTTGACGATAAAGTAATTGCCAACTTATTAAAAAACTTAGTTAAATTGAGACAGAGTGGACATAAAAGATGGATAATGTAAAGCAGATATTCTAAAGAGTTTGAACAACATATTGCAAAATATCAAATTGTAGAAACATGGTTGCTGAAACCTTAACATGTGACCGTTGTCACCCAGAAACCACATTAGTTTGTGCAATGTTTACGCTTCCCCTGTCAAACATCCTAGAGATAAAACTAATCTGGGGCCAAAGCTGCAAAGTTGACCTATAGAGTATGTTCTCATTTCTTTTCTTAATCAAGGACTGTAAAGGAGATCATTTCATTTGAAAACACAAACTCTGAAACAGAAGAGCTAAAAAATCATGGCTGAGATCACTGAAGGGTGAAACAATACATACTTTCATTTATTTAGAAGTGAGAGAGAGAGAGAAAGTTTTTAAACTTTTCAATGCACAAGGCATAACTGCTTTCAATACCCAAAGTTTAAAACCAGCTAATAGGGTGTGAAACTGCAGGAATGACTATTTGCCGAAGGAATTTGAGGTCTGTCAGGTGTAACTGCCCCCCCACCTATTACCCTCAGAAATGAGCCCCATTTACATAATAATCATTAGGGCCTAAATTATTGCTAATTGAAGAAGAATGTATTGATTGTCATTGTCTAAGAAGGTCAATAGGCATCAAATTTCTTTCTTTTGATCTATCTCAAACATAACATTTAGAGTGTTTGCATGCCTATGCTATAATGATAAACAAGGACAAAGCTAACACTTACAAGAAATAATCCCAAGGTTGGGTTAACACATTTAAAATGAATAAACTGAAGGTTGGGGTCAACACATTTACAATAAATCAACTGAAGATGGCGTGAACAAATTTACAAGCGACAGTCTTAAGTTTGGGGGTTAACAAATTACATGGACTCTTAAAAAAAGGATATTCTACAGTTAAAGAAGTTTTAAAAACATAAAAACAACTAAATATCATAAGTGACTCATTAAAAGAATTAACAAACTGCCCTTTGAAGACTAGAGTTTTACATTTTGAATATTTGTAACAAAATGGGTTCACAGAAAATAACTTACTTATTAATTACATGAGTGAATTCATTGTATTTTAAGAATGTTTATAGAATTAATAACTCAATTTATATTTCTTCCATGAAATAACATTGACATTTAATCTATTCATATTAAATTGTAATATTTTTAGATTTGATGAATTCAATTAATATTCAAACTCACCAACTGTATCTAGATTCAAAAGCATTTATCAACTATATGCACATATATTGACAAATATGCTTAGATGCATATGCACATTTATTGACAAAATAACTTAACATATGCACATTTCAACAAAGCAACAGAGATTGGTTTGAAATTGATCTGGAAAAAAAAATTAGGTGCACCAAAATTACCTAACATAAAAAGTATAGACAAATCTATACTTAGACATGTGCCTGTAAGCAAACAATAAAGCATAAATTATGATCAAGTCAAATAATTTTGTTTACATCATTCAAATTATACATATCAGTTTAACACAACTTACATGTTATAGTAGACAACAAATTTTATTTGGACTAATAAAGAAAAACTTCAAAAACAATTCTGGTGTGAGAAAAGGTTTTAACTTGTTTAACATAACACTTTTGTATGCTAGAAGCATACTTTGAGGCATCATTAAAACATATGATCAGGTTTACCGTTTTAAACAGCAGACCAAAAGAGTTCTTACCGTCTAACGATGGGTGAAAACACCAACTTGGTTGTATCAAAGCCAAACACCATGAGGACTAGCAGACCCTGATAGACAGAATTGACAGCCGACATGTTAAATCTGTTAATGAGTCTTAGAAAACTGCTTAGACATTTTATCTCCAAATTAAAACAGGAAAGATCTATAGTATTCCTTTCATCAACTTATTACATGCCAATACTTATTTTAGGAAGGTAAATTAATTTTTTTTAGTGACCCTCAAATTTAAGTTGTTAAATGTATTGTTGAGAGTTGTCTAGTTTAAAACTTTTTGAAATGGAATTTTTATTTGAACAGTTTTCAGAGAAAAAATGAATACAGCATAACAAGATGAATATTCGTTTCCACGCAGTAAAAAAATTTTAAGAAGCATTTTCTGCCATGGACGTTTAAAGTTAATTCAATAGAGTGTCAAGAAACATACCTGTCCATAGTTAAAGACACAGTCTAGAAACTCAATCTCCACATAGATACCAGTTGGCTGGCTGTTAAACATTCGCCAAAAGCATAAAATTAAACCCTGAAATATTTAAGGGTATTTGTTAGTTGTTTTTTTTTTTAAATCTTTCCCTAAATAATTAATAAAACAATACATATGCGAGAATAAGAACCACATTCTTTTTATTAAATAAAACACAAGAATAAATGAGTTTGAAGTTATTTCAACCAATCTGTAACGGTTAAGAAATCCAAAATAAAAGAAACATTAATTGTATATATATTTATTTTCATTGATCTATTCATGGCATCGGTTAGACCTGAGTGAAAAAAAGTGGTGGAGCTGAGCCAAAGTCCCAAGGGGGATGAAAGAATAATACATACAAACACATATGATTTCATAAAACGCATATGATTTCATAAAACACAACTACAGACACTAGTAAGTAGTGTGCCTAAATAACATACTGTGCATTATAGTGTACAAAGATCCATGCTAACACTAGGGCATGACAAATAGTTGATCTTTAAACTGAATTACCCACCATAGTTCTAAAGTTCACAATTTAGATTAATTCTGTTAAAATTATTAAAAGCACTTGATCACAGCTCTTGCGGCAAGCCACTATCTGCACTTTGTAAATAGGTATAAAAACTTGTAGCCCAGTTTTGGCACAAGGGTTCCATTGATTTGTTAATGGCCTTATCTTTCTGTAAACATTAAATTTAGGGACCATTTCTTGGAAAGGAGCACCCGGAGCAGCCTTTAAATATGTTATACACCAAAGTGCTTGGCTCATGTGGAGTTTGACAGTCCTACAGTATCCTCCACTAATCAACCCAGTGAAATCTGCCCAAAAATGAATTTAGCTCAGTTTTTAAAAAATGTTTAGATACTAGCATAAGTGAGTTGAATTGTTTTCAATTTATCATTTCAATTTAAGTATCTGGAAATTCCACGCACCAAAATATAGTTTTAGTCATTTTTTAAAATTATGAACTAGATAACAATATTGTAATGTACAGTAACAATTGGTCTAAAATAACAACAAGAAATTAATTCTAACAGTAATAAGTATCGTATGCTGCGGGTAATAAGTAGCATATGCAGGACCAAAATAGCTGAAGAAAAATGACAGAAATTTAAAGCACTTACAATAAACATGGACAAAAGTAGCAGTAGCAGCAGTATCAGATGGTGGGCTGTTTGATACTCCTCCATGGAGAGTTCCTTGACAGTTTTAGGCTCCTCCTCCTGTGGTCCATCTCCATTGACTATAACACTGGCCGTATAGGAACGTAACCTATCCATGCAGGCATGGCGCTGTTCTGTGCTACACTGATTCAGTAAACAGGTGCGCTCTGAAATGTTCTCCATGGCTTCGGTGCCTCCTGCCTCGAACTCACTGAAGATACTATCTGAGTTTTTTTCCATGTAGGGAATGAGATCCTCTATACTAGTTGCTGAAAAGTGATTAAAAAATGAGAGAAAATAAAAATGAAGTTAAAAAAAAAAAAACAAGCTTTCTGTGAATTCAGTTGCTTATTCATAAACTTTGTTATGATACAAAAATCTGCTCTTCTTGCAATTAGCAAAATATTGATGGCGGTAGCAGCTAATATAAACAGGAGCATTAAAGACACCTTATAACAGTACAGTACCATACAAGCCAACATAATAAAGAACAGTACCATACAAGCCAACATATTAAAAACCAGTACATACAAGCCAACATATTAAAGAACAGAACAAGCCAACATATTAAAGAACAGAACATACAAGGCAAACTTAAAGAACAGAACATACAAGCAAACTAAAAAAAAAGAACAGTACCATTAAAGTACTATTAAAGAACTGTAACATATACATTTTGTTACTATAGGCACAAGTCTGAAAATGTTAAAATTAGGTAAAAATTAATACGTTTATTTGTTTTTTCATTTGAAGCCTTAACATATCTAGTTTCAATATTTCCTACAAACTATCATATGATATAACCTCCTTTGCAATGTATATTTATTCATGATTTTAATACTTTATAAGGCAGTTATGCATTTTCTTATGGTCCACTAGTAAGATAGTTAAATAATCATCAACACACACAGCACTTACATTTTTTAATATTTTGATTTTCATTGTACGTTTGATAATTTCTGCCATTTTTTAACTTTGTTTCATCTTTCCGAAGCAATTTGTGTGACTGACGCCCACCAGATGCTTCCATGGGTTCTGATCCCTCTTCATTGATGACTGGGTATTTATCGTCCCTTGTACTGATCATACTATCTTGCCTGTCCACAAGGGACTGTCTGCTGATGATGCTGTCCTGTCTCTCTACTATAGACTGCCTGGCTGGCCTGGCACTAGCTATACTCTCTTGTCTCTTGTACTCAGGACTTTGGGATATCCCTTGTTTCTCCAGGCGTTGCCACCACACAAGGGAGGTTATTGTGACAATAAGTGTCAGCAAGAGAATTACTAAAGAGAAAGCAGTCTAAAGAGAGAAGAAGTAAAAATGGAGGAAAACATTTTGGACCATAAATTTTAATTTAATATAATAAATATATTTATTTTCTCACAAATAATTGCTAATTTGTTAAAAGTTTTTATCAAGGTTTCAATAGATAACGTAAAATATTCAGGACAGGCCCACATATTTATTACCTGAACTTTTCCATAGTGAAACGCCGGATCAATTTCTCCTGCCAAATTATGAGATCCCAACAGAAATAAAATACCGGTAACAAAAACTGGAACCCTGAAATAAAATGTAACCATGAAAGAAATTCTCCAAATTTAATTAAAGAAAAAAGTTATTGAACAAAAAGAGCATTTAATAATTTTTTTAAGAAAAAAATTAACTGCAAATGACAACATTCAAAATTACCGAACTTGTTTTGAGAGATCAATTAAAATATGAGGGAAGTTTTACAGCAAAACTAATTATTGGTTAAGTTTGAGTTCTCACAAAGAAAAGTGAAAAGAATGAACTTAATTAATTGTATCATACTTTTCATTCTTTAACTGTCTCTCAGCTATTTAGTTCGTTATCAAAATACTAAGATTTCTTTCTTAGGCTTACCCAAATCCAACAAAGTAAAACCAGACTTGCTTGCGCAATATAAAACAAAGACTTCGAGTGTGTAACAGACAAATGACAATGGCTATAGCGGCGGTCCAGCACCTTGCTGAGAAGACACCCACCAGCAGACATATGATGATAGGATAATGATGCCAGCCCTTAGTGTCCCCATGGCAATAGAATGTTATCATACCAACACAGGCGATGATCTGGGAGAAAAGACATTGACTGTTAATGTAAGGTGATTTAATGGTGAATGCAAGTAAAATTGTAAATATAAATACATCTAAATAGACTGAATATAGTTACTAATTAGTTTATGCAACAAAGGAAAGAAAATTGTCAGTCCCATTTTTGCCACTTTCATCAGTTCAAATCATAAATAAGGATTGCACAGGTTTCTCATGTTAATAAATACACTTACATGTGAGAACATAAAAGCCATTGTAAAGCGATGAGGAACACGTTTCCATTTGCCACTCACAACAAAAAGGCCCATAACCCAAATCTGAAACAAAAATTTGTCCTTGATTTCATTATCACAAATATATTTATTTATTTATTTATTTAGGCATTTTTATATAGCGCTTATCATAAAGCTCTAAGCGCTTTACAATTATTAAAACATGTAAACTAAGTAAATACAAATGAGACACTAGGATAGTAACTACTATTCTATAGAAACAATGAAAATGGCTATAAAACGAGGACACTTTGACACTTCAGGATCAACCCGAAACAGAAAATGAGGTAGGGCAAGGAGGGTGCATCACAGGTCATAGGCGGACCTAAACAGATGAGTTTTAAGGGACTTTTTGAAAATGGACGAGGTTTCACTATGACGTATATGGAAGGGGAGCTGGTTCCAGAACGTGGGCCCATGGAAGCAGAAGGAGCGTTCACCGATGGTCTTAGTTTTAGTTCTTGGGATTGAGAGGGTTCTACTGTCAATGGAAGAACGTAGTTGTCTTGTGGGGATGTAAGGAAGCAACAGTTCAGAGAGATAGACAGGAAAGTGAGGGTCAGTGAACGAGTTGAAGCAAAGATTGGCAGACTTGTATTTGATGCGAGAGGATATTGGAAGCCAGTGGAGTTGCCGCATGTGTGGTTGAATGTGGTCATGTTTCTTTGATTTAAAAATGAGTCTGCATGCTGAGTTCTGTGCCTTCTGAAGTTTTTCTATGTGGTGTTGAGGAATGCCTGAGAGAAGAATGTTACAGTAGTCAAATTTTGAAAGAATGAGTGAAGAGACGAGAGTTTTTGTGGCATCAAAGGAGAGGAGGTGTCTAATGGTGCTGATTTTTCTAATTTCGTTATATGCTGATCTGCATATATTCGTGACATGTTTGTCCATGGAGAGGGTGTCCGTAAGCGTGACTCCAAGGTTTCTGGCAGAGGGAGAGAGTGTTATGTCAGAGTTGCCAATAGATATAGAAGAAGGAGCGAATGGAGGGAGAGGTTTGTTTTGAGAGTGGATGAGAAGGATTTCCGTTTTATCATCATTTAGCTTCAGTTTGTTGCAAGTCATCCAACGCTTTACATCGTCCACGCACTCCTGTATGCGAAGGATTGTGGCATCAAGTTGATCAGGAAAGCAAGAGTCACTGATTTGAGTGTCATCAGCAAAGGATTGACTGGAAACTGAGTGGTGGCTAATGAGAGATGATAGAGGTTTAGTGTAGAGGATGAAAAGGACCGGCCCAAGGACCGATCCTTGAGGAACTCCAATAGACAGGGCTGAAGGTTTGGAAGAGCGGTTGGAAATAGAGACTTTTTGAGTTCTGTCAGAAAGATATGATTGAAACCAGTTTAAAGCTGAGCCAGTAAGTCCGAAAGAAAGATGAAGGCGGTCAAGAAGAATCTGGTGGTCAATGGTATCAAATGCAGCAGAGAGATCTAACAGAGTGAGAATAGAGAGTTTGCCATCGTCCATCGCGCGCAGGAGGTCACTCATGACTCGGACCAGTGCTGTTTCTGTGCTATGACCAAGTCGGTAGGCGGACTGAGAGGAAGGATAGAGATTGCGAGAATGAAGATAGCCAGAGAGCTGAGAGAGTATGAGTTTTTCTATGATTTTTGAGAGAAAGGAGAGGTTGCTGACGGGGCGGTAATTCTTGAGTGTATATATTTCCCTCCTACAAATTTTATAGCAACATGTACTTGTTACAAAAAAATTTGCTCTCTAAATTTCCTTACAACAATACTTTTATTCATTGAATAGATGATAGAATTTATAGAGTTAATTAAAACGTTAAAGGGCCTACTCTGGCAAATGAGCCTCAGATTATCAACATTTTTCTTTTGTTCAATTACCATACATGGTGTGAGTTTCTACACATTGTTAATAATTAATTTTTACCCGAAGGAATGTTAAATTAATGACATACAAATTAATAAAATATAAATATTAATATATTAAAATGGTATAACATTCATCAGGGTAGTTGCTACCCTATTCAATGTCCACTTGTAAACATGCACTTACGCAGCAAGTGAGACTGATGATGCTAACATCAAAAGATGTGCTACTCAGCACGTTCCTGTAGTCAGCACCTGTCACCACTATTAGCGTCATCATTTTAGCCGAGACAAACATCAGAGGAGCCGATAAGAAAGTACCCATCACCAGCCCTGTAGCAATCTGAAATCACCGGTTGATTTTTGTTAACTGGACTGCACAAATTGATTCATCCGCTAACAACAAAGCAGATGAAGCTAATACTGAACATTAATGCAGGCCGTTTCATATATAACTTAATGTATATTTCAACAATATGAAACCCACAAGAACATTTGTCAGCACCATAACTGTGTACCATGTTCATAAAATGTGAAATGACCTACGCAATGAACTTACGATATCTTGGGCGATGCCATAATCACTGGCATATAGAAAGACAGAAGGGGCTGATGGGAAAGTGCCATAGAGAAATCCATACATGCTGAATGATGTTGATACATTGCCATTTTCCAGCCAGCCCATAACTTCCCAGGTTACTAGGGGCAGTATTAGACTGAAAGCAAATGATGATAAATAACTTACAAAAAAATGAACTGGTTTTCATGTACAACCTTGGATTAAAACCTTATTTAAACACATATTTAGATTTTTATTGAGGATAGATGTATTATAGACTAAAAAATGTTAATCTTTTTAATTTAGTTCTTGTTCTAACTTTAGAATTAAATTTGAAGTTTATCAGGGCTTGTTTATAAGTATTAATCTAAAGCAGAACTACGCATGCAGAAGAAATGCATAAGCAAATATTGAAATGATATTTTATTACAAATCATTTCAATAGCTAGTTGTAATGTGAACTAACCTTATTATACATCATATGACAAAAAAATGAATAAAATTAATTCCATTAATTCCAGCTGAAATAGTTGTTACATAATAGACCCTTACGTCTTTGCTGTGATGAGAAGCACTGGAACAACAAGACCCATACCCAGCTGACTACGAACTTTGCCAACCATACTCAGACCAAGGTAGAACAGGGCAGAGGCATTGTAAGCGTCCCCTGTAAAAGATATATATCAAGTCAATATACTTTATTGGATCAATTACGATCCAAAAGGGAATGTTTTTAGGTACCGAAATAACAGGAACAAATTATTAACAGACCAAGATTTCAACAGAAATAATAATAAAAATAGCCAAAGGGTAGACATAAGCCTTTTATAGAAATAAAATGATAAATAAGAAGCAAATTTTTTATAACCATCTGGCTCATGGTTGATGATATAGAGAATATATGACAATTGTTTTCATTTTACATCCCTTCATATGGATGTAGGTATTTAATTCACAACTTTTTATACTATGATGATAAAATGCTAATGATTGGGAATTCAATGAATAACTTTGTCAGGATAGCATCAAAGAAATGTTTTTTTAGTGTCGCCAAGGGTCTGTGAGACCAGTACCACTGGATGGCAGGAGCTCCCCCAAACATTAGTGTACAGGATCAATAGAGGTTCGTTCAGCAAGCAGTTGGATGTAGATGGCAGAAGCTCCCCCAAGCATTAGTGTACAGGACCATTGCAGAAGGGATGTTCAGTCAGCAAGAAGTTGGATGATGGTAATATAAAACTTCCAATTAAAAGCAATGGTTGATTAAGTTTATGATTGCTAATGTATAAAATAAAATGATCCAGCCTGGTCCTTTATACAAACATACATTAGAGAGCAAAAATGTGCCCAGGGCGGCTGAGTCAAAGGTGTGTAACAGTTTTTTAAAGTTTTTAATGAAAGAATTATATGTCAAAATGATACAATTTATCACTTACCCAGTACAATGAGGATGTCACTTAAAATCTCAGGGACAGACCCAGAAAATATGAAGTTTCCAAACACCCCAATTGTTGTCATGAAGACAATAGGGTTGAGAATGACACCTTTGACAACATGCATAACAGCAGTTCTAAGTTTTGATTCTTTTGAATCATCCTGCACGGATCTATGCTTATGGACCTCCATAAGGATGAAGCCAATGGGGTTGAGTAGGACTAACGAGATGGGTGCAATAAGATACAGATACTTGAGGTACTCCGGGTGAGTTCTACCATACAGAGCTTGCACTGAAGATGGAAATGTAAAAACTTCTGTGTGCTTATGTAAGTTGACATCATTCTAAATATCAATGTCATAAAAACCAGTCAGTCAAAACTTGTTTTTACTTATACTTTCTACCCCAGCAAGAGTTCGTTAGTCAGTGTGTGGGAAATTTATATGAATTATCTTCACAAATTAAAAAAATCTAAGAGGAAAAGTAGATTTTTTTTTCCATGAACCTGAATAAACTCTCCAATATTAAGTTTATCAGTTATTTTTAGCAACCATGTCCTAATAGTCAGACAATGCTCTTCCACTCTTTTATTATCCTCAAAACTAAAATATCACATCAATACATCTAGTTAAATGATATTTAACATCTATGACAAAAGTCTAGATGAGAGCCAGAGTCAATTGTTGTTTTAATCATTTGCTTCAACATTTCGCATAAATATGAGGCAAATTATATATTCATTTTGCTGTTTAAAAATACTATATCATCACTCATACATAAGCAGAATGGTGCACTACATAAATTTGCCAACATCTGTACAGTGGTATCAAATTAATGGAAGTTTTTTGTATTCATAGAATATTAATTGGTTAGTCACCCTGTAACAGGCATACACAGGGATATTTTTAATGATAGGAGACAGCTGGACCTGGTGTCATATTATTGACAGTATCATCAATATCATATAAATTACACCAGGTTTCAGTAGTAAAGGCCACATGAAAGTCTACATATTTAACAAGTGATCAATGTCGACATCTATAACAAGTGAAATCTGCATTTATAACAAGTGGTAATATCTATATTTATAACAAATGATAATATCTATATTTATAACAAGTAGTATACCTTCTCATTGGTATACCAGGCAAAATTTAGAGTAGTAATTTTTCTCCTATTGCAGAATCAAAAACTGTTGATGTTGTCTTTAAAATAATTTCATCAAATATTAGCCATTTCAAGTACTGGTAATGAATACTTAGGAAATAAGAGCTGTTGGTTTTCACCATATTCAAAATACATTGTTGTTGGATTTTATGAACTCATTTATAGCTAGTTATTTTAATCCTTTCAATTCATTTGTTAAAACTTACCAATTGGATATCCCAGTGCAAAGTCATTGCTCTGAGTAGCAAAAATGCCAAATATGGCTGCATAGCCAAGGTTAAGTGGTCGCTTGACCAGGAGTGTGACCAGACCCACAATAACAAACACAGAAACCTTTGCTATGAGTATTCCAACCAGGAAAAGCCAATTTACCTAAAGACGAAAAGAAATTTGAGAAAGAAAGTATTTGCTTATTATGCACATTGTAAAATAAATGCACGCTTATAAAGATAGCTTTAAATCCCAATCAAATGGTGATACTTCAGAGTGGTGATGATGTAGAGTACTTTATATCGTCAAGGTTTCAGCTAACTATAAAATAAATCCAGATATAAATGGGAAAAAAAATCAATAAATGTTCAAAAGTACTGTTGACATGTTTCTATTTAATATATGTGGGAAGCTGGTGAAGGAATTATCAAGCCACTAATCTCTACAATGGTTTATATATATAGGTGCTCGAGTAGGCTTGATTAAGACAATCTCTACAGTGGTTTAATATATCTAGGAGATCATGAAGAATGATTAAGACAGTAATCACTACCAAAAATAGTTTATTGCTTCATATGCAATGAGAAAAAATTCAAAGTTAAGTTAACGAATTCCAAAGTGAATCTCTATGGGTGGACACAAACTTAACATTTAAATTATTATAGCAACTTTTGTTAAAACTGTGTTATACAAACATGTTAAACTACTACTAACATTGTGTTAGAAAAAAGTCAGAGAAGAGCAGAGTTGTGGACAAGATTTGATGTTTCTCATCACTAAAAACACACCAATTTTACTTTTACTCACTGCACTTGTAATATTTAACATGTAACTTAAACATCTCTTATGTCACATTTCTTTTTTATGTTTACATAGTACACTGACTTAAGTTGCATAATAAATCAGATATTGATTCTTTTTAGTGATCATAATCTGACTTAATTAAGCTCACTTAGGGTATGTTATCCTTTACTTACAATTTGAAAACCAGATGAGTAAAGTTTATGAATAAAAATCATCACACTGGTTAGGTGTGTCATTCATAAGCTTTATGAATAATATTTTAAAGTAAAGTTTAACTTCTGCATGTAATAATATAACACAGGAATGTGGTTAATAAAATTTTCAACACATACATTTTAAGGTTGTTTAAATTCTCAAATATATTCTCTTTTTACAACAACAATGTTTAGTCAATGCAGTCAATGTTTAATCAATACTTTTTCCAATTTTAAACACTTTCAATTAAAATGAGTTATTGTAGAAAATTATGAAACTACTCACTTGGTAGAATGTTTCTACAAATAAAATTGCTGGAAGATGATGTGTTCAGAAATAAAACTAGTAAACTCAAGCATTTTCTGGCACAGTATTTTATATCATTAATTAATGTTCATAAAACTCCATAAAATAAATGGGACATTTTCTTTATGAAACCTATCACGGAATGTTTTATTTTATTAATTTAATATTATAATATAACATAACTATCTATCTAGAATAACAATGTGTTTTAAAATGTAATAGAGAAATTCTCACCTCTGAAAAGTTAAGCTCACACATGCTTTTAAATAGCAGTGCAGGGAGGCAAAACTTGGAGACAAACGTTCCAATGCCTGAACTTTGAGTAGGTGTAATGATGCCAGCCCTCCCAGCAATGTAGCCAAAGAATATGATGACAAAACATTGGATGATGGCACGATATAAATGATCAAAAGAAACATCACTGACATCAGAGGAATTTCCAGGATATGTGAATGTTGCATTCATTCTCAAATTAATAATTACACATTAATACTAATAACTTATGAGGTACCGGTTATCTGTAAAAAAAATAATTAAAGATTAAATGTAAGTGTAAGTAATAAATAAAACAAATTTATTTTTAAAAGCTCTGGCTCTGAAGTGGCCAATGCCAATGCTGTTGCATCCAAGGATTGGTGTTGTAAGTCTAATTTTATACTATAATTATAGCCATTCTTCCTACCTAGAGTAGCTTAGTTCTGCCTATGTCTGCTATGGCTATTATGCTATTGGTGAATTGACTTTATTTATTCATTTAATGGAGCTATTCACTAATATCGTGTTTCACTTTTGCCAATTTAATTGTCACATGTAATGTACTGTAGTAAAGTGTAAAGCTGTCCTTGTAACAATAAGGCCTTGTTCAGCTTTAAATGTATAATTATTAAATTAATAGTAGTATGCCTAATAATTAATAAGGCTTAGTAACTTCTTAGTAGCAATAAAATTTTAATTTAAAAGATAAATGACAATGTCGTCTGCTTTCAATAGTAGGCCTAATTTATTATAATTATAGTAAAAAGTTTTGATCTGACCCACCAGACATTATAATCTAGGATCATAATCATAAACAAATGCTATAAATTTGTCAAACTTGTAGTTAAGAAGTTCTAGTCTAACTCAAAATGTTAAATAGCTGACTATTTCAGTTTTTCTGCACATTTGACGTGATTGCGTAACTGTTTTTAAATGTTAGTTATACTACTCATATTGACAATATTACTTAATGATTGTTTCACTTCACTTAGTTAGAATAACATTTGTATTACTATCTATTAGTATTATTCTAACTATTATTAGTATTACTAATACTAATAGTATAAATAGTACATAGTAGATTCACTGGTTTCAGCGATGGGATTTGTAGTATTCATTAGTATTGATATTGTCATTGAGAACGGTTACCGGTTAGTCCCTTATCACAGTTTAAACACTAAAAATTTGAATATAGTCCGACTTGCCTCAATACGTTGACCCATTATTGATTAAACGATAAGACTGCCTGACGTAAATTATCACAAAATATGTTTGTCTCTTTTGTCTTCATCCATGCCCTACATTTATTACTACATTTGCATCCTTCTAATTATGTATCCCGGCTGGTGCAGTTTGTAAAGTTAGCGGTGCAGGTTCTCCTTCTTCTCCCAGGATATATTTATCAAATAGTTATTTTTGAAATGTTACAAATCCAATCACGGTGTAGTGCAAATTTATTGATCAACAAATAAATATTTATTATGAACGATGATATTTTTAAAAAAGTAATGTGTCAGCAGTCAGTCGGGTGGGGGTGAGGGGTGCTTTTCAGGCATTTTTTCATTATAGCTATTTACCACGGTCCACTGGCGATAAGCTTTTGTTCCCAGCTTAGTTTTGCCCATGGAATTTATATAATCATCAAATAATTCTAGCGCAGCGATATTTCACAGGTTCCCTTATTTCAGTAATTTAAGAGTTGAAAGATAGGCCTATTCCCCCACCCCAGTGATGCCCGAAAGCAACACTGCAAAAAGGCCTACCAGCTTATAGCCTCCTTGGCAACATGGGCCGTCGTGTTAAATATTTTATTGCAAAAGTTGGTGCGCTGAAGACATAAGGAAAAATGAACGCATGACATCACTGACTTCACCAACAACAAAGGTTGGCAATATATATATATANCGGTTGTCAATTTACCCTCTCTTTTTTTTCCGGGTACAGTATCGCCGCCCCCCCCCCCAAGCTATTAAAGTCACACTTTCGAAGTAAAACAAGTCTTTAACAAATAACAACTACTTAAAACTTAATCTAAAACAAATGACTATTAAACTATTACATTTATAAAAGGTGACATTTTCTGTCAGAATACATCCATCACAACATAAAGTTAAACATCACTGTCCATTTCAGGTTTTAGATGTATGATTAAAAAAAAATGTTTTAAAATGTGTGACGTCACATTTGATCTTACAACACCCCCGGTCACAAACTGTCACCCCCCCTTAAAACAACCCCCCCCCCCCACACACACACACATATACTTTAAAAAAAAAAAATTATTTTTACTGAGTGAGTTATAAAGGGCAAATACCACTCTCTGGATTTTTGTAACCAATCAAAATTTTAGGTTGAATAGTAGAATAATCATACAACTTTTTGCTTAAATTATAGTCTTACAAGACTTCAGGGACGTAGCAAGGGGGGGGGGTGCGGACTGCACCGGATGACACCATCCAAGGGGCTGACACCAAATGGAAAAAATGCATATTTACAGAGCACAAACTGCTCGGTGTAATCTAATTTCATTAAAGGGAAACCGATGACACATACGTTTTTCACACATATAACCAGTCAAAAGGCGTGTTTTATTTAGAATTCAAGGATGATGCGTTAGAAATGCGGTGACACTATTTTAGGTCAGAAAAACATCGTTTTTATCATAATGTAACGCCCATTGAAGTGTTCGGTATGTGATAGGAAGCTATATGTAGCCTATATCTAATTTATGAGACTTAAAGCTTTCCATTAATATCAAATGCGATTCAGTCAGGCGATTCTAAGTACGGGAATCGAATCGGTAAAAATTGAAAACATTTTAAAAATGAATTTTACTCATTTATAAGTATTACAAAATAAAGTTTTTCACACTTTTCTTATATCTTTAATTGAATTAAATAGATTTTTTTTTTAATTCTTAAAAAAAAAAAAAAAAAAAAAAAAAAAAAGGGTTTTAAACTCTCCCCCCCCCCTCTCTCTCTTACATATGCCTGAGATTGCACCCCAAAACAATCACTCACCCATGTAAAGGAGTTATGTTTTAAAGGTTGTCTCATCACAATCGGTTTAAAATACTTTAAATAGGACATAAGACTACTATTAATTCAGGTCAAAACTATGACTATTGCGTTTTCTAAGTCTGTTGATATTAATATTGCTTATATCACGAACAATGAATTGGGGCCCCCGGCCAAAAAGGAGTGGATTTTATGATTTCATTATTCATCGTTTTTTTTTTTAAATATGGATCATCAAGTGCATGCGTCCTAAGTTATGTCAAGATTCACCTGGAGCACCGGTAAAGTTGTCCACCGACTGCAACAGCTACTAGAGCGACACCTTTCCACTATTCACATACGGCGAACCATTCTCAAACAGGCGATCGATCTCAAGGTGGCCTGTGTAGCGCCCCAAAGGGGACAAGCAACCTGTTAACCTGGGAGTACATTGCATCAAAAGTTACACATGCATAATTGTGTTCAAGATCTCTGCTCCCAAGCTCAACCTCTTAAAAAATGTGACATGCATGCATATATATATTATATATAAATTCTAAGAAATAAAGCTTTTCTTTTATACCAAATACGATCTAGTCGGGGCGATTCTGAGTACATGAATTGATGAGTGTACTGGTCGCTTTCATTCTGAACCCCAGATCAGATCATCAGCAATCAAGGAAGTAGCATATATGTTTGGGGGTGTTCAATCCAAGGGTCTACTATCAGCAAGTGAAGAAGAGTTATTGGTGTCCGTTCCAAAATTAACCTCTTTCTATGATGAGTTATCAAAATATGAAATGTTAAGAAAAATACCAAGGCGTAGAGGACACCGAAAGACAGCTGATATGAATTTTTACAACGTCATGTACTAGTCAGTGTTTGAATTTTTGAAATTCATAGCTCTATGGGACTTCCTAGAATCTCTTCCAATAAGCCTTCAATTGTTTCTTACGACCCGTGTTTCTGTGGTTTCATGTGAACGGAACTTTTCAAAACTAAGGCTTATCAAGACCTTTATACTACCCGTCATGGGACAGTCTATGATTTCTAATCTGGCTCTACTCTCAATTGAACGTAATACAGTGAACGACATTGATTATGATCGAGTCATTTACAGGTTTGCAACTTTGAAAAACAGGAAAGGAAAATTTTAATTAAATTAAATGTTATGAAAAATAACTCTACTGCTTAATGTTGTTAAAGTTCTTAAATACATTTAGCTTCTTTGGCTCAAGAAGAAATCCATCGTGGGGGGGAAAGGAGTGTGTGTGTGGGGCGTGGGGGGGGAGGGTGACACCATGAGTTTACCGCACCGGGTGACACCAACCCTAGCTACGCTACTGCAAAAACTGGCCTCATTGTTTTTGTAATTAACTTGCAAAGTGGAAATAGCATTTTCGTTCCATAAGTAGCTCACAATCTTGGACAATTTAATGGAAAATTTCTGTAGACGTAATATCAAGACTTTCTTTAAATCTTTTGCCCTGACATTGTTATTCTGATTTAAAAAAAACAAAAACATTAAGACAGTAAAAAATGATTGGCAATTAATTCATTAACGTTTATAATTACTTAATTCCGCAAAAGAATTGAACCCCAAAAAGGCTTCCAATGTATGCTATCCTGAGTTCAGCATTCCGTTGTTTGGAGTTTAAGATGGACATGTATATAAATGCAGTTAATGTCATTCAAAGTTTAAATCAATTGGTTTCCAACGTTTAATGTGGATATGATGTCAACCATTGATATGATACTGCATTTAAAATCGACTAATTTTCTATTGAAATGGTACGTTTCAGTGTGCAGCTTTTTGGCATTTTCATACCCCGCTGGCAATTGCTGCGGTATCTTTCTGAAAGTCCTGCACTGCCAAATGGGGTATGAAAATGCAACAGAGCTGACCGTGATGGCTTTTACGATCTAGCTGTCAGGTCCATCGTGTACACACCAGGTACTACCATTTTAAGCCACACCACGTACTACAAATTTAAGTCACACCAAGTACTACAATTTTAAGACACGCCAATTACTACAATTTTAAGACACGCCAAGTACTTCAATTTTTTAAGACAAGCCAAGGACTACAATTTTAAGACACACCAAGTACTACAATTTTAAGACTACCAATTACTACAATTTTAAGACACACCAAGTTCTACAATTTTAAGACACACCCAGTACTACAATTTTAAGACACACCAGGTACCACAATTTTAACACACACCAAGTACTACAATTTTAAGACACACCAAGTACTATAATTTTA